GTCCTCGTGACGACAGCAAACTTTTTTCTGATCTCCCTTTGTAGTGGTACACATGTTCAACTTCTCTACACGCATTCTGGTTCTGTCTCACTGTCACTTGAATTACTTACCGGACCGCACTCTTACTTAGGAGAAAAATCACAGAAATTGAAGTACAGAAAAGTGGGAAGATATGGTATATTAATAATAATACTAACACTAATAACAATAATACTAATGATAATTTATATAATAATGATAATAATGTTTTATATGATAATAATAATAATCATAATCATAATCATAATAATAATACTAATAATAATAATAATAACAATATAGATACATGTAGATAGATAGCATTTGTATAGCGGAAATTCCTGTTCAGCAGCAAGCTCTATGCGCTTCATAAACTATGCGTACATGTACTGTTACTATGTATGTATTACCCCAGCAGATCACCTGAGAGCATTCTGAAACGACCAGTATAAGTTATATAAATAGCATCAAGAGGCTGACCCAGGTTAAAGAAAACTGGAAAGCGTTTGTTCATGCCTATACCCTGATGCAGGGTGAGAAAGGCAATGGTGATGACTCTTACTTACTCTCTTCCTATACCGTCAGGTGCATAATACTATTAATACGAGCATAACAATTATAGTGGAGAGCAGTCGACGAAATGCTTGCCTGTCTCTGGCCACCTTCTCCAATCTTAGCACATCTACTGTAGGCTCTTGGTGATTGTTTCGTCGTCCCCAATAGAGGGGTGCCCACTACGGATGGGATCGGCCGATCGCGCGACTCGGTCTCCTCAAAAGCAACGTGTTTGTTTTCAGTTTCAGTCAGGCGACCAAGTCGGGCGATCGGCCCGATCCAGCCGTAGTGGGAACCCAGTATAATTGTACAACTTCCAATTGGTCTGCCTCCTTTTCTCTGTCTAGTTGGTATCCAGTACCACGTCTGATACATGTACTGATAGGGCAATCTTGTCTCCGGCATTCTTAAAACATATCCTAAATATTTCCATCTACTCCGTTTTATGGCCGTGTAGATATCCAGCTCTTTCCAACACTCCATCGTTTGTAATAAAGTAATTCAATTTCATCAATAAAATTCTTTGTAACATGGTGATCCAAAAAAACGGTACATTTTTTTCTGAATATCTCGCACAAAAATTGTTCTAGAATGCTGTAATTTAGAGCAGACTTTGATCTAATTCATTCAAAAGGAATTCGTTTGACATAAAATCCACGAAGAAGAAACTTATTTTGAAAATGGAAATAGCTTAAAGTAAAAAGCACGCAAACACTCAAAGTTCACCGTTATCTTGTAAAGGAAGTCGTAAAAAGATTGGTTGACCTTTTTCTATATTTTCTCTTTGAAATTTAATTTTCCATCCCTGTAACATTTAAACAATTTTTAATTCTTTTTCACAGAGTTTAAGAACTAACAATTTTATTCTGAAATTCCTAGAAGCAGTGCTCTACAGCCTTCCTTTGGACTCAACCCATTTTTAACACGTCGTACAAACTGTTCAACAAGGACCTGCTAACCCATTAGTGTTTAAAGCTACATGCACTTTACATATATATTATATTCAGTATGAAGTAGCCTCTAGGGACAATAGGGAGATGGTGTGCCCAATAGACAGCAATTTTGGAGTCAACATATCCGGCAGGGTAAAAATGACACGTGGTTATTCATAATTTCCAGTGACGTATTGGAGCTTTCACGGAAAGAAATGGTCTAGATCTACGCCTGTAGATTTAAAAAATAACAAAGACCTTCCTTGGATTTAGTTAGCAATATCAAGTTTGTATTAATTTGTTCTTCAAAGCACAAATGGTGACTAAGGTGACTAACTGAAATAGAATAATATGGTTGATTTTCAACAAGTTGCAAAGTTTTGCATTTTAGTTAATTTTGGTTGAAATTTTTAAAGTAAAGTTTGATATTTTTTTAACAAACGGATTTATTTTTTCATATTTATAAATGTAACGTCCCCGCGGTTAAATTTTACTTCTGCAAAGTTTCATTTTTTTTTTAATTGATTCAACAAAGATAACCGAGTTATTGCTAATGTAAGTTTAAGTGGGTCTTCTTTTTTTCTGTCGCTGGCCTGCATTGCATGAATCTAATTTTGGATTCGTTTTTACTGTTTCTTCTATCACTCAGGTGTACTCTTTCGGAGTCGTGAACGAATTCTCTTTCGAGGATGACGTATCTCGACTCTACGACTGCGAGGTCCATTCTTTCAACCCTTTAGCCTCCGGGGACGACTACAACAGAAGCAAAAAGATCCAAGCGCACTCTTTCTCCATAGGACGAAATTCGGAAATCTCTGAAGACGGGAAAGAGCTCTATACACTCCCGGACATTCGCACGATTCTGCACCACAGCAAAAACAACATTGACGTCATGAAGATGGACATAGAGGGCGCGGAGTGGCCGGCACTAGCTGGGATGTTACAATTTGACGAGCTAAGCCAAGTCAAACAGCTATTGGTGGAATTCCATTTAGGCCCGCCCCCAAATATAGACCGCCTCCGGCGAGCTTTGAAGGTGCTCAAAGACATTGGGCGTGCCGGCCTCCGAAAGTTCTACGCCACAAAAAACCCGAGGGGGTCTTTCCATCACCCTGGCTTCCCAGTCATGAGAGCCCGAAACTATGAGATTCATTTTCTAAATACCAAATTTCTCAATAAATAGAAATAGAAATAGCCCATATGTACTGTTTAATATTGACGTGTGGTGTGTGCGTGCGTGTGTGTGTGTGTGTGTGTGTGTGTGTGTGTGTGTGTGTGTGTGTGTGTGTGTTTAGTTTTAGTAAGTGTTTTACGGCACTTGCAACACAATAAGGTCATATAAGTGCCGAAGATTAGAGGTGTTACATGTACAAGAGAGTAACAAACACAAAAAGGAGGGGAGATCAAAACGACAGATGTTTGCTAGGAAAGAAGAAGCAAACCACACCAGAGCATCCGCCAACCACCCACTGTGTGTGTGTGTGTGCGCACGCGTGCGTGCGTGCGTGCGTGTGTGTGTAGGAGGGAGTACCGGTGATCAGCGCCGGCCCCTGTCACGCTGTAGGTTCTATAAACTTGGTTTAACAACATGAAGAAGTTGGGACATTTGAATCTGACAGGGGTACGATTGTATTTTCTGGTCCTTCCTGAAATTTCCACTTTATACAATGTATCTAGATCTAGTGTTAGCTTTTTTTTTTTTTTAGTAACAGTTTTACGGCACTTGCAACACAATAAGGTCATATGAGCGCCGAAGATTAGAGGTGTTACAAGAGAGTAACAAACACATAAAAGAAGCAGGAGAGATAAAGACGATAGATGTTTGATAGGAAAGAATGGGCAAACCACACCAGAGCACCCGCCAACCATCCACATATCTAGTGTTATGATTGGGGACCAAGTGCTCTTCTTCAAAATGTCGACATAGATTTTAGTGACTGGAAATGTTTTTCACCTCCACTGACGACACATCCTAGATCATTTAAGAGGCAGGCTGTTTCACTGCTGCCTGTACTTTCAAGGCTAACATGAGCTGAAAGTAGTCAAAGAGACACCGTACATCACAGGGTTCTAGCAGACAGATGGAGTTAGGGATGCTTGATAAAATTAACTTTCCAGCACTGAAATCTAACTCAGTTTAGTTTTAGTAAGGGTTTTACGGCACTTGCAACACAATAAGGTCATATAAGTGCCGAAGATTAGAGGTGTTACAAGAGAGTAACAAACATCAAAAAGAAGGAGGAGAGATAAGGGCGATAGATGTTTGACAGGACAGAAGAAGCAAACCACACCAGAGCACCCGCAAACCACCCACAATCTAACTCCTGTCTTCTAATGCAAAAGTGAAACAGCATAACCATACCACCACAGACACCATGAGTTTGTTTGTTCTAGTAGAGGTTTTACGGCGCACGCAACAGCATATTAATAAGGTCATATGAGCGACAAGGGGTGGATGTCAACAGAGAAGTCCTTACAGGGAATCAGACTTACTCTGCTCACCTCTCTAGCTTCAACAGCACAAAGTCTGCTTCGACTATCAAGGCACCCCGGGTCACAAGAGTGTGACAAACATACAAAAGAAGTACATGTAGAGGAAAAATGACAATAATAAGGATTAGGAAAGAAAAAGCAGCAGTTCCCTGTTGCAGTTCAGTCACAGTTATGAGCATGACATTTATAAATCAGCCCATTTATAATTATAATTCTACTGTGCATAAGAACTCGACATGTTAATGCCCCCTTCTTTGGGAATGGTCTAAAGACACTTCAGTCAGTAGCACCACCCCAGAGGGTATCACAGGGCTCTCAGACAGATGGAGATAGGGATGCTTAATAAAATTAACTTTCCAGCACCAGAATCTAACTCATGTCGTCTAATGCAACAGTTAAAGAGCATAACCATAACACCACAGACACCATGTGTCACGTTCAGGCATTCAGAAGGGCGCAAAGTGTAACATCTACAACAACAACAACAACAACAACAACAACAACAACAACAACAACAACAACAACAACAACAACAACAACAACAACAACAACAAAAACACAAGGGAGGCCGTGGCCCTGGCGAAGAGCACGCTCTTCGGGGCTCCAAACATTTCGAACGGATAGGCTACCACACACACACACAACAACGACAACAAAAACAACAACAAAAGTAACTGCTGAGCAAAAGTAGCCTATACACGGAAATAATAAAGGCTGGAATAAGTCCCATACAAACAAACAAACAAACAAAAACCAGAAACGACTGACATTTCAGGATCAACAACAAAGTAACAAAAGACAGATCTAAAGATAGGGTTGGGTCGGGCTCGCAAAATTAGCGTCCGCGAGTAACGAACTACTCGTTGGCACTACCCGCAAACGAGCGGACGGGTAACGAACCGTCCGTTTTTGAAGGGTAGTTCGCTACTCGCTACTCGCTACACATTGGGCAGAGACAACAGTTCGTTTAGCGAGCGAGCGGACGGGCGGACCGAGAGACGCCATGCATTCGAGCGGACGGACGGACGGACGGACGGGAGCGACTCCTTCCATTGCCTACAACTTACAACCCCCCGACCCCCCCCCCCCCAAAAAAATTAATTAAAAAATCACCCTCCTGCATCACATTGTAGCTAGGCGTCACATGGCGGAAATCCCCCCCCCCCCCCCCCCGGCCTTAGAGATAATTGGAACGTACACACACAGTGTGCCCCACGCACGAGGTGAAAGTTTACACACATAGTACTACATCACCAGCCTCTCTCACTCCCTGTGGCACTGCTAGTGGTTTGAAACATTGGACCTAATTAACAAACAATAGACGACGGGTCTAATCTCGCGTCAAGTATCTCGTCTGCTAGAGTTCGTCCGTTCGCCCGTCCGCCCAGTGAATAAAATTGTGGAGCGGACCCAAACAACGAACTGACTTGAGGCTTGAGGTCCGCAGTCCGCTCGCTGGGAGAGTCAAATTGTGGAGCGGACCCAAAAAACGAACTGTCTTGAGGTTCGCAGTTCGCTATCATGGCCGTCCGTTACCCGTTCGCTCTGATTGAGTCCGCGAGTAACGAACCCGTCCGTCCGCTCGCCCCATCTCTATCTAAAGATAAACCCTGGCTACAACTGCTGCACAGTGGAGGAAAAAAATAAAAACTGGAAGTGCATCCACTTTTGAATTTATTGTATATTTCACAAAAAGATGCAACAATTATTGGTCATTTCAAACACAGAATTAGTCTTCAGCTGTTACATGGTCAAAAATAAAAACTGGAAGTGCATCCACTTTTGAATTTATTGTATATTTCACAAAAAGATGCAACAATTATTGGTCATTTCAAACACAGAATTAGTCTTCAGCAGTTACATGGTAAAAAAGCCTTTAACTTTAAGTACAAAAGCACATGCACATGCACACACATATAAAATAAAAATATGCACACAATACAAGCAAACTGTAAATACGCACACAACATACATACAAACACAGTATGGCCAGACCAAGATTTCGTAACCGTCACTTTGCATCAAAACCAAAAAATACTTATGATGATAATGTACCATAATATCAACAAAACCAAGGCACTGTGCATGTATTAAAATCAAACTGCATATATATATAGAATCTTTTCTTTCATTTGTTAGTTTTAGTTTAAAGTATAAAGTCATTTTATTTAGTGCCAGTGGGAAAAAGCAAGACAGTCTTAAGCAACAGAGGGAGAGTAGAGTAAAGACCTTGTACAACAACAAAGTTGGCATCCTCCATCCACCCGCTGAAATTGTTTGCTTTCGATAAAGTTTCCTACAAACTAATCATAAAAGAATATTTGATCCCCACCCACCCACCCCCCTCCCCTCCTTTATTTTCAGTGCTAAAAATTAGTTTAAAAATACCCTGTCTATAGAGAGGAAATGAAATATTCAGATATCTACCAGCCCAATGAACACTATTTCATTCATATAAGAGGCCAAGCTTCAATCCTGCATGTCACGGGCTGACCAGGTTGTGTGGGACATGATATTCCAGCAGAAAGATAGAGACACACGTACTTCTTCTAGATAAAAGTCCTCCACTTGTGGGAATTAGATTTAATATCTAGTTTTTAGTAGAGGTTTTCCGGTGCTCGCAACTGCAAAAGGTCATATGAGCGCCAAGGGGTGGATGTCAACAGAGAAGTCCTTACAAATTTAATCTCTAATAAGTCCAGCAAAGACTTCAAAGAACATAGCTATTTATACAGCGCTATGCACACAAATGATTCAAACTTAAAACTTCCACTGAAACTGAGACCAATCATGGTTGAGCTGAGGGCACAAGTGAATAAGAGCTTTATGGCACTTGCAACACAATAGGTCATATAAGTGCTGAAGATTAGAGGTGTTACAAGAGAGTAACAAAGATAAAACTGAAAGAGGAGAAATAAGGATGATAGACGTTGGATAGGAAAGAAGGAGCAAACCACACCAGAGCACCCGCTAACCACCCACAAACATCAACAAAGAAATAAACAGTTTTTAGAAAGTATTCCAAAACAAAACAACAATTATACGGAAGAAAAAAAACACGTCCTCATCTACATCTCAACAGGAATAATAACAATTCACATATAACAATACTCTACTAATGCACTCCATCAACACTTTCAATAATACAACAATTCACAGCATCAAAATGGGTCAATTTGGTTCTTTAAAATTTTGACACCCTACCAATTTTGGTATGGTAATGGCATGACACGAGTTCCACAGGGTAAAAGATCAAGGGGACAGCCACTTGAAACCTGGAGAAGAGTCACAGAGAAAAGTGGGAAGACATGAAATAATATCAAGAGCCTATCCCAGGATAGATTAAGGTGGACTGTGTTTGTTCATGGCCTACACCCTGATGCCGAGTAACAAAGGCCGTGATGATGATGATGATGGCATGAGTTCAAGTCCTCTTTCAAAATTGTAAGGTTATTCTAGAGACAAGACCTCTGAATTTAACATTCATCCACGACAGAACCAAGCTGAGTAGGTGGAAAGCCTTGAAAACTTCCCCATACCATGCAATTTCAAAAATGCTCTATTGTGCTGTGGATCCAAAACAGGATCATCAGGAATTTAGCACCACTCCACTACATACAGAATAGATCGTCTCAAAAGTGAGGATCTCATCAGAGCACAATGCACAGAGAAAATGTTATTCCTGTTAGAACCAAAATTTATTCAGATCCCAAAAGCCAAACACTCCCATCACTCTAAATCAGAACAATTGTGAAAGTCATTCCGTGTTGGAACCCAGTCACTATCAGCACGCGAACAAGTCTTCTTTTTCTTCAAACTCTGTTCTTTAGTATTTTGAGTACTCAGAGAATCTCGAGAGGATATTCTGGTCTGTCCTTTTTGCCGAGGTTCTTTATTTTTCTTCAAGTAGGTTGGTTTCTCAGCAACAGAATATCGTTCTGCTGGAGCTAAGTTTTTATTTTTACTTTCGATGTGCTGATGAGACTTTCGGTATGTTTTTGAAAAATTATTGACATTTTGTAGCGAATTTGAATTTATCAAGTTGCCATCTCTTACACCAAGTAGACTCTTGTAACGTGGAACATATTGAGATTCCTGCTGTAAGTCCCTGTCCTCAAAGCTAGTGAAACCAATCTCAGAAGAAATTTCCTCACGGTATCGTTTTTGTGACAGTTTCTTCGCTTTTGCATTCCTGTCAGACTCAAAGCTACGTCCTTTCGGAGTAAGAGAATCATACTGAGACTTTGCAAGTCCATCACTCGTAGTATCTCGCACCGGAGTCCGCGGCTCGATTCTCAGCAACATTGGGATGCTGAGACGGTACCTGAACAGCATCAGCAGTAGAATCAGCACACCGACGACAGCAATCAGCATTACAAGCAGTTGCCACTGGGCAGGGATTTCTGTGAAGAAGGCTCGCAGACTGCGCCCCAGGCTAGAGGAGATGAGTTCAGTCGGGAGCAGGAGACACCTTGTCAGGAGAGTGGAGAGAACCTGCAGTGGTAAGACAGAAAGGGAGAGGAAATATGTAGCACCTACCAGCGGCACTATCCAACCACCTGTTAACCCTATCCGTACGCCCTGGGGTCATTTTGTACCCCCTAGGTTGTATTCTTCCCATTTTAGAATACCTCTACTTCTAGTGCGAAGAACTCTTTGAAACTTTCAGTATTTCTCAAAAAATCAAAGCGCACGAATCGGATTAACGAGTAAATTTCCTCTTGGAAAGTGGTGGCACAGAGTTCCCCACGCCGTATGGATACGATAGTAAAACATGACGTACGGAAGGGGTTAACATGCTTCTCATAGAAGAAAAACATTAAGACATGTAAAAACAAAACAAGGCCAATAGGAGCTATAACTATAAGCATTCTCAAACTTGGAGTCAAAAGTGCATGGAATTGTCAGTCAAAAGATCTCTGTATTCTAACAAACTATAAATTTGTACTAAACAGTAGTAAATAGTCTGTTATTTGGTAACCATTTGTCCAAGGCGATCAACACCATAGAACCATAATAAGATGGTCGCCTTGTGGTGATTTACTCTTGTTACATCTCTGTTCACTCACTGTCTCATCTGTTTTGGCATTTGTGAGTGTTGTTCAGTGTCGCTCAGTGTTTCATGTGGGTGTACTGTGTCCAGTGTCCATTCGCCCGTGTGTTGTCATCAGTCGTTGTCTAACACTCGAACTAGTCGGACAGTTTTTGCTTAATGAAGCCAAGCTTTCAGGTATGGTTCATTCATCCCACTTTACAATAATAATGCCTGAGACAAATTTGGTTCGTTTTGACCTTAAACCACAGCTGTTACACGGTAATGACTTTGATGTCACAGGAACTATAACAATAATGGAGTGCCAAAGTTGTCTAAAGAGAAAAGCCGTCAAAAGTATACATTTTCTGAAAAAAAAGTGAATATCCTATGTTCGTTTTCAAACACTTCAAAAATATTTATTGTATCGTTTAATCTTTGATAAATGCCCAGTGGGCCTGGATTTTTATTGTGACATTGCAGATAAAAAAATCTCATGATCTTTTGGATAAATGTACAGTGAAGAAAATAAAAAATAATTAAATATAAGCACTTCCGGATCAAATCATAGAAGCCAAACATAGCACCAGCTTTATTTTGCACTTTGAAATGCAATTTATATACTGTCCAATTAAAGTGGCCCTGACATCTCACAAAGAAATCTGCATGGTGCTCGTTGCTTTGGTTTCAGTTATAGATGTTACTTCAAGCTGAAATATTTGTACTTAAGAATTTAAAAAGTTAATGGCAACAAATCTCATGGCCAGAAATCAAATCCAAGTAGACGATGTGCAACTCACATATTGTACGAGAAGGTGCCATTGATTCATGCAGGTAAAGTTTCATCAGACTTCAGACTTGAAAAACAATTGTGCATTCTGAAACTAGAGCTATTTGATCTTTTAACTTTTGTGCCCTTTGTAAAATTGAGCTGCTGGTTACACAAAGTAATAGAGAAATTATGCATAGAAATATTGGCTACTGACTTTCATAATCCAGATGTAAAAACTTGTAACCAACATTTTTATGGCTGCTGTAAAGGTTGGAATTTGTGATCACTTGCAACATCAATATTTTCCATTTCTTATCTTCATTGCCCCGGTCAAGGTGAAGTAGGTACCTAAAATGTAATATTAATATTCTGCAAAACACAACAAAGGTTATTTGGAAAATGGAGTACTTGGTCTCCCATCTAGATATATGACTGAGAGGATACATTCCACGAGGGGCAAGAAACACAATTTGGATCCAGCTCCGATTTTAACATCAGATTTTTTTCTAACAAAACGTTACCTACTACGTCACAGCAACCAGCACATATCACTCACTCTTGTGAACACAACTTACCATGAGGGGCGACACCTCCCACACTGGGTCTACGAGCAGAGCATAATGGTAGTCGTAGCAAGGATCGGAGCCATGAGTCCAGGAAAAATAGGACCTCATCAGCGACTTGACACTCATGAAGAATGTCTGACTCTCTGGACTGCACTCTGGAGGGGTACCCTGTGCACAGAAAAACTTCTCAGTTGAGTAGGATTTTTAAGTATTTCTGGGCTTCATATTCAAAGGAGCAGACAGGATGCATTCTTAAATACTGAAGTCCAACCTTTTTTAATTTTTTATTTGAGATGAGATCTACAAATGCACCAGACTTAGTTTTTTTAGTCTTTTCAAAGATGCAGTAACCCATCATGCGTAGAAAAGAAAAATGCATTTTCTGTCAAAATCCACATGCTTAAGTTAAAGACATAAAAAGTTATAATACAGTAAGTCTGTACAAACGGAAAGGAAAAGGAAAGGCGAAGAGCCATACAAAATCATGACAAGGATTATACAGTGGAGGCCACTTAAACCAAATGCTGTGAAACTGCCGGATTTTCTCAGATTTAGCCAGGTTTTGGTTTATGAGGTTGCTCAAATTGGAGAAAGAAATTAAGCACTTTATTTTCTTCCCATTTACCGCTGCTTTCAGATGAACCATGTCCAGTTTAAACGGACGCCACTGTCTATCAAACAGTTCATACAGAGAAAGAAGTGAAAAAAAAAAAAGGCATGAAACTACATCCTGAGAACAACTAACCAATAGAAAGGAGCAGAATAGAATTATAGAGCCGTATACTTTTAGTAACCTGCTCTCCGTTTTCCTGTCCAATACTCAACAGTCCTTTGATGGCAAAACTCAAGCATCTAACAAATAACAAACTATGCAAATTCTTCAAGAACAGTCAAAGAGCTGACTAAAAGTTTCAAAAAAGTTCCATGCAAATTTTTTATTCACATTCATTGTCATTTTTATAGAAATAACAAAAATGTGACCAGAAGGCACCATAGGTACATCATTAGTTTCCCTTCGGTGTTTGTGACTATAGCGACTGTTAATATGTCACTCTACTGCAGTCCAAAGGTAAAACGCCTGTATTGTACATTTAATGATTTGGGGAAAATCATAATAAAACTTTTAACAATAATAAGCCTGCTTTAAATTATAAATGCTCTGCTGAAAAAAGCTGTGAGGAAATATATACCAGTACATTGTGTGCCATTGACAATCAGTTACTTGTTTAGCTGCTTTGAAAACTATTTACAAGTAGATTCTAAATACCCCATCCTTTACTTAACACATGAAACATATGGGCAAAACAAATAAAGCAAACAACTAAAACAAAAAACCTTGATTTAGGTCAAATACATCGCTTTGCCTCGGGACAGCAGTATACTTGTCTTACCTAAACATGAAGTGAAACCAACCAATGATACTATTCATCTATTCACTACTATCAAGTAACCAGATAACCATGTAACATTACATCACTACAAACATCGTCTGACCTGAATAAGTTCAGCCTCTCTCCGAGCCACCGCTGCCTGATAGAGACGAACAAACTCCCATGGGATGCTCACAGTAATGGCTGCAATCAACATGCCTGACAGCCATTGAAAAAATCCAGGCATCAGGACTCTTGGCCTTGACTGCTGATCTTTCGTCCGATGAAGTCTTGAACAGCAATCAGGTGTTACCTCACCCACAAAACGGGATGTAGTGGGACGAATTGAACTATACTGAAATTGATCTTCTTTACACACATCAAGTGTTAAATCAAACATTTCTTTGTCCAGTGCATTCACTACAGACTGTCTTTTGGCACTAAACGTAACTAAAATCCTAAAACACAGGTGCAGAATCAAACTTACTGCTAGTACTAAAAGGCAATTCAGAACTGTTGAAACAGTTAAAAAAGAGCTTAATCTATACAATAACAATATGCCTCCCAGCTCAGTAACCGAAACAGTAAAAAGATCAGAAATATCAGCAGTCAAATTCACAGTCAAAATAGAGATTAGGGCTTCACAAAAACTGGCTTGGCACAGCAATCTGTCAGTTTGAATGTCATCTTCAAGTTGTTCCTCTCTCTCCAGTCCTGACCACAAGAAAAGCCAAGACCAAAACTGGAAGAACAAGCTGTCGGCTTGTCTAGTTTCTGGGACTTCAGTCAGTAACTTGTTACAATCCTCCATGACAGATGCTGAAAAATTGTTCAAGAAAACAATTTTTGTTAAAGAGTCAACAACAAAAAATCCTCTCCAAATCAATTGATTACTCTCATCATTGGTATGTATGGTCAAAGTAGAAATTGCAAAATAATAACATATGTCTGACCTCAAGGAATGTATTTTAAGCTGACTCCCATTGTATATGGTTCATTAGACTTTATAGAGTAATTATAATATTTGATCATATAATAATATGTCATGAAGCATTGGAATCAGACCCTCATCAATTTTGGGGCAAATGGAGTTACTGGTATCCTTTTTTAACTTGCTTCAATTGTTTTTGTGATTGATGAAAAGTTTTTGGGTTTTTTTGCTCAACAATGTGTTTTTAAAAGGACATAAAAGGAGTAAAGTCAAAAAATTAAAATTCGATATTTGCCAAAGGGGAATCAAAATGCTGTTTCCTTCAATTTCATTATTTTGACGAGTGCCTGACTTCACAATGATTCCTCACATATATATGTATAAAGCATTATATTAAGTTACACAGTGGCATCCACTTTTAAAACAGAAACACAGAGAGCAACCCCAATCTCACAGAAACCAAAACTTGTGTAAAACGATATCCTACACATTTTAACCTAGTGGAATCCTGTTATAACGAGCGGGAGGGAACTGGTGCGAAACATCTGTTATAGCAGGATTTTTGTTATAAGAGATGCAGTAATAAATTCAAGGGAAATAATAATGTAGGCCTAATCTTTGAGTTTGGAGTTTTGTTTATTTCTTAATGTTATCTCCCCTCATGATGATTTTGTTCAACATGACCTCAATGTCATACATGAACAAAATTCGAATCATATTTCTTTCTCTCTCTAGCGCTAGCGATGTCGACAGCTCGGCGTTGGCGATCAGAAAGAAAGGGCTCTAGACTAACTCGCTCACTGTGTTGTCCCCACCCCACCACACCCTGTGGTGTGTTCCATCTGCTTGCGCACATTGGGTACACACCCTGCCCACGTCACACATTCGCTCCATCCACCACATCACAGTGACCTCTCCATCCCCGCACTGGAGAAGTGAGAGGCATGGTAGGCCTAGATAATCTAGACTAGGCTGGCCTATCATGTGATGCGTTCTGCTTGTCTGCGCCGCGCATGCCACATCCTCCCCACCCATTCACTCCTGCCTTCATTGATGGCACACATGAGCTCTCCCATTCTTTGTTTCGCTAGATCACCAACAAGTTTTTCAACTGGCGAAGTTTTACACATATATTTGTATAATTGGCCTATAGTACAGCAGCAGCAATATTCCGCTATAACTGACTCGCGCGTTTGCGTAATTGCACAATAGCAGTATTTCATTTACAAAGATAAAGAAGGGATAAAAACAGGGTTTTAGAATATCCTAGTGTCTTTATAACAGACTTCTCCTGTCGTTATTTCAGGACTCAACGGTTATAAGTGGACTCCACTGTAACCTTTTACTCTAACAACACCATTTCAAAGTTTCAAAGTCTCTCCCAGAAGAAGAAAAGTCTCAACCATTGTGCAAAATAACACACTACTAAAAAGTCTAACTGCCCTGCGATCAATCATCGGCTCACTGATGCTGCCAAGGTTAGAGTTGTTAATTTCCAGCATGCATGACAACATCATCACATCATGCAATTAAGACTGTGAGTTTGTGAGTGTACAGTATTATAGGGCTGGGGGTGAGTAAAGACTCGTCTACCCCTCCTATCCTGGCCCTTTGAAATTAAGTTAGCAGCAACATCTGCCAGACAGTAACAAAGGCTAACTAACTTCCCATGAGGCATGATGAGGGTTTCTCAGTTTCTGTTACTTTACTTTTAGTAGAAGTTTTACGGGGCTCGCAACTGCATAATATAAGGTCATATGAGCGCCAGACGATTAGAAGTGTTACAAGAGAGTAACAAACATAAAAAAAAAGAAGGGGAGATAAGGACGATAGATGTTTGATAGGAAAGAAGAAGCAAACCACACTCAGACCACCCGCCAACCACCCACTAGTTTCTGTTAGAAAGGCGTACACCACTGTAGGCCTAAAAATGAAATGTGTGCCACTTTGCGTTTTTTTCCTTAACAACCCCCCCCCCCCCCCCCCCCCCCCCACACACACACACACACACACACGCACACATAGATGTATGTATGCGCGTTCTAAATTCATGAATCAATTAAAATGCATCATGGATTATCATACATAAAGTCTTTCAATTTTTTTAAATTCCCCTCCCAGCTTTATTTCTTTTTTAATGTTTTGACTTTTAGTTTTAGTAAGAGAGAGTTTTACCGCACTTGCAACACAAAATAAGGTCATGTGCCGAAGATTAAAGGTGTTGCAAGAGATTAACAAACATAAAAAAAGAAGGAAAGATAAAGACGATAGGAAAGAAGGAGCAAAAACCACACGAGAGCACCCGCCATCCACCCACATGCTTTGATTTTG